ATCAAAATGTATCAAATCAGAACACGTCATCTACCCGTTGCTTTGGCAACCAAAACGTTCCAAAACGGACAAAGCACGACCGGAACGAAAGAAATGAAGATTCACGTTCGTTTCAACGAGAAAAGTTTGAAAACTCAAAAATCAGTTTATCTCAAAATCGTCAGCAAATACAGTCGGTCGAATCAGTTAAAAAAATCGGAAAGTTATCAAATCGCGAATCAGAAAATATGCCTTCAGGCGAAACAGCAAAGAGAGGAAAAGAAAAAAAGATGGTCAGAATTCAGGATCGGAATAACACAGACACATTAAGGGAGGAAATAACAGAAACGACGTTCCAAAGAACCAGAATGATACAAAGGACCCCAAACAAATCAAAATCAGAGAATTCGGACTTTGAACAAATACCACAAGCGAATTAGAACATGATGAACAGACAAATCGGAACAGACACGGGAAATAGTGGTCAGTCAATATCAACTGCTACAACAGCCCAACCAATGTTAGTTTCATTTTATGAACTAATAGGATCGGAGAAGAATGAGAAACCCCGATCAACGATGGAATTAGAAGCCAATTCGGTGATGCAAAGCCCGAAACCACCGGGACAAACCCAATCAGGAGATGAAACTGAGATTGGACAAATCGTTGAGAACCGGACTACAGTTCAGGAACTGAGACTTGTATGGTCACACCGCAAAAGAAAACGAGAGGTGGACATAAGTCGCGGAAAAGCAATTACCAACTGTCGGAGCAGTTAAAGGAAACAAATGGCCCACTGTCACTCGAAAAATTATTCGACAAAAGTCTACTGGCGGAACTAGTATCAGAGGATACTTGGATGGATCGGCTCAGTCGAGTGGTGGAACGGAACGATAGACACGGATTCGAGCTAATGGGTCCATACACCAATCCTCTGTGGCACCAGATGTCGGTAGTAGATGACTGCCTACTGGTGGACAATCGTTTAGCCGTAACTGAGAAGCTGAGACAAGCGGTGCTTCGACGACTTCATCAAGGACATCCTGGCCAAGAAGCGATGTTGGAGGTTTCCAATTACTTATGGTGGCCACACATGCACAAAGACATAGTCAATATGGCCGAAGAGTGTAGAAGTTGCACTCGTTATGGTAAGAATGCTAATTATATAATCCCAAAAAATTCGGCCAAACCACTTCCACTGTTGACACAGCCTGGTCAAGAATTACAATTAGACTATGCGGATCCACTTGAAGACCATAAGGGAAAGAAGATATATTTGTTAGTTGCTATTGATAGATACTCAAAATTTCCGTCAGTCAAAGTTACGAAATCTCCAGGGGAAAGTCAACAATAAAATTTCTACGTACCTACATTGACACACATGGAATACCAGAATCGATTAAAACGGATCAGTTTTCCGGGTTTACAGGAAAATCAATGAAAAAATTTTGCACTGAAAATAAAATTATTCAAAAAATCTGTCCAGTCGGTGATCATCGAGGATGTGGACTAGTCGAACGAACGATACAAACTATTAAACGAAGATTGGGAGTAATGCTACTCGAAGAAAAAGTACAATCTATGAAATTGTGCTTGAGCACAATAATTAGGGACCTAAGATGGAATAAACAGAAAACAATAAAGTTGTCCCCGTTTGAAGCGCACTTTGGTCGATTACCTAAAACTGAGTTTAAAATTGTAAGGGATAAATTTCTGAAGGAATCTGATCGTTTAGATAACGAACATTTGGAGAGATCGGCGTTAACAGCATCGCAGTCGAAGAGACGCATCGATCAATCCAGGGACAATGTAAAAATTATACGAAAAGGACAGAATAGCCGGCCAAAGAAAGAGCTAGGGCAAAGGAACTAAAGCAGCTACTAGAGACCAATGCGAGATGGAATGTCACCAGACGGGATATCTCAGTTAGCGAGCTACGACGAATTGTAGATGAAACGAGCACGATAAATCCCGAACTGAGAAAGGAACTCCTATACTCATGGCGAAAAGGATTTATCGAAGACAAGCAGACTACATCGGATGATAGCTGGTCAGGAAGCTTCCTCCGAAAACATGAGCAAAGAAAGAGTGGAAAGGCCCTAACAATACCGCTGAAAGTGGCAGAGACACCGTCAACAATATAAACGGCTGCTGGTGCAGTATATCGAAAGAGCGATATAGCGAGATCAAAACTTCATACACACCCCAAAGCACAGAGCTCGGAGAAAAAGAGGAGCCCAACGGGGGAAGAACCTAGGAGCAAACAACAGAAGACAGTATCACATCATGAAGACGTAGACAGTGAGTCGGCTGAAGAACATGGTGCGAAAGACCAGGGGCCAACCGATCAGGAAATAGAAGACAATCGACTAATGGACAAGTTTCAAAACTCGCCAAACGTAGTTACGTCAAAAGAAACAAAGATGGGCGGGGGCCTAAATCTAGGAGGAAAAGGGTTAAGCCAAATAGGGCAGGACCACTCGTCCAAAGTGCAAAATCTGCAAAAAACCAAGACGCAAGAGCCACGTAAAACGAAAACTGTTAAAACAGCAAAAAAATCTAAGAAGCGGGATACGAGCAATGAAGCCGTCTACATGGAGTCGTCTGCACCGAAAGAAGCTCCATGAGTAAAAGGATCACGCGGCAAACTAGTGAAAAGGAAATTGTGGACACATTCCAGAATAACAATATGACAACAAAAGAATGGGAAGAAATCACAAACCAGGTTTTGACCCGAGGGGTACAAAACGAAGCAGAAAAACTACTGACTCAACAAGCGTAATCAGTTGACAATAGCCCGACAGTATTTGCGGACGAGTCGGACAAAGAAAAGGATACAACGACAGTCAGACGAAGCAGTCGACAAACAAAGAACCAGGGACCAAAGAGATACGGCAGACCGGTATCACACTCAGTAAAGTTGATTAGTTGTGAAGACGATGTAACAGAGCTAAATTTGGCAGCACTGGAGGCCTACAGATTGAGACTGGCAAAGTTAAACATCAATAACAAAGAAACAACATTGGAGAACAACACGTTTGACTTACTAGAGAGACATTTGTTCAAAAGGAAATTCGGAGCTACATCGTTGGATGAGTCGGGATCGTGGAACGCTGCAAGAAACAAAGCGGAAGTGATGAAGAAAACAAACAAGGAAAACTAAGCTAAAATGAAAGCAATTTAGTAAACTGAGACTTATATACTATTTATAAAATTTTATAAGGTATTATATAAAATTTTGTTGTCCTCAGGGGAATGTGGTACCGTGTAGTACTGTTGCCACAGTAACCTTGGATAAAGTGTTATTAATTTTCTGTTATGTATTGTTAAGTATTATTCAAGGCCATCCATGCAGGCCAAACGTAACAGTCATTTGGACGGTTGCGATCGTAGAAGACACATGAACGTGATCTCTAACAAAACTAAGCGGCTCTTTTTCCTTCCCCCCCCCACCTGCAAATTTTTCAATTTGAAATTAATGTTCACTTTGTTCGATTGTCGTGAAAATTGATATGCGGACTGATTAGGCTATAACAAACATATTTGGTTTTCATAATTAACCTTGTAAAACCACTCGTTAGACTATAAAATTCATGTTTGTGTGAGGTGGGGGGGGGGGGGGGCGGGCTAAGGAAAAAGAGCCAACTAAGCAAATCCAAAAGACAGAATTAAATGTTTTTAATTATTCTTTTGCTCTTACCTACTCGTAGCATAGCAATATCACAATGATAATGGCTTTTAAATGGATTTTAACCATTTTTTTTGTAAATAAAAATTGATTATAATCGATCCCAAATTGTAATTATAATCGTTTATAATGCCAACATTTTTGACCACGAAAATCGATTAAAATCGATTAATATCCATGGAACCTCACGGCGGGCACAAAAGTTGGCATGAAGACTAAATATTGGCCATGACAAACACATTTGGTCTTCATAGTTAAAACCTTGTAACTACTCATTACACCATAAAGATAATGCTCGTGAGGTTGGGGGGAGAGGGAAAAGCAAAAGAGCCTCAGTCACTACACTATGATTTGAGTATTATCAAATTTGTCTTCTTAAGCGGTTGTCTACTTACTGGCGGCCGCACAGCAGTAAGCTTTTGGGACTACGCCAAAATGAAATTACATGCCGTGAAGCTAAGCAGTGGAAATGCATGGTTATTTTTACTGGTTACTTATACAGTATAATATAGAAAATAGTATAATGAGATAAATAAGAAGACTATTCAGTCTAGTTGTTACAGGACCAACTAATCCGTTCAAGCAAGGGGGATGTAGCTCAGTGGTAGAGCGTCCGCTTCGCATGCGGAAGGTCTGGGGTTCGATCCCCCACATCTCCAACTTTATTTTATACAAAACTCCTAATTTTGAATAAAGATTTTTTTGGCAAAGTCAGTTCCAGGAGTCATTTGTACCAATATTATTCATTTAGATTTCTGATTGGTCGAATTGTGAGGCAACAAAGACAAAGATGACATTAATTTACTACTGTTCAAACAGAAGAAAACTAAACAGCATAATAGTGACCGCCGCAGCCGCCCCAACGTGTTGCGAGCTTGCCAACAGAGGGTAGGACTCGCATAACGAAAATTAGAGCCGGTTAGAGCGCAGCGCCCACCGGCGACCTTAAACCAAGCTTAGTCTTTGGCCAATTGAATATTTTTGGAACTAATGCGATTGATTTTTTATTTTGGTACAAATGGGACTGATTTATCATTTTGGTATTAGTGAATACCCACTATTTTTTATACTTCCTCTAAATATTATTTCTAATTTTTTTTTTAATTTTTAAAATCCTTCCTCGCGTTTTTTTTTACTACCTCACTCAACCCTTAATATAAATTGTAATGAGAAAGGCGTTCGTTCATGCATGCGTGCGATTTATTCATTGCTTAGTTGTTCGGCACCTTCAAACGTCATTTCGAGAAAGCGCGCCAAAGACGCCACCACCTAGGGCAATTTTCAGACGGCGTTGACCACTTGGCGGGAAGTGTATGTTGATGCGAATACTCACTTCCAATACTCATCCACACTGAGTGTGATATTGGGGGAGAAACTGTTTCTGATCTGCTGCACTGTGTGGCACTTGTCTGAGTTCCAGGAGTTGCCACAGGTGGAGAAGGGAAGGGGGTCTTTGAAGGACTCCAGCATGTAGAACAGGATCCAGGCCAGAATGACCACGTAGTAGATGTTCAGGTACAGCAGAGCGAACATGGTGGAGATACCAACTCCTGCAAGCAAACAAAAATGATCTTAAATATCAGAGAGAAGAGATTTTTCATTTGGCGAGTGATCAAATGAGAGTTCTCAAATTGACGATAAAAATTAACCACAATGATCACACAATGCCTTGCGAGACCCAAATTGACGAGAAAAATTAACTGTTAGGCGTAAACCTAAAGTTTTTGTAAAGGCGCCTTTGGCGTCATTGCATTCCAATTTTAGCGCCAATTAAAACCTCTCCAAAAACGGAAAGCTGGATGTTTCTCAAAATATTGCCAGCGGCGCAGAACATTATGTGCGAAAACAGGATATTTCTAGTATTCTTGGAGCACAACATAATTTCTGACAAAAAAGACAATGAATGTAGCGCGGGGATGTGTGCACGTACCTTTGAATATTGGCACGATGTTCCAGCACTTGAGGACCCCCTGCTGTGTGAACTGGCCGAGGGAGGATTCGAGGAAGAAGAGGGGGGCCCCACAGGTGAACATGAACAGCAAGTAGGGCACGAAGAACGCACCTGCATGTACAGAAACAATAATCTATGCTCTAACGAAGATTTTCCGCGAGATTCTGCCATTAGTTTCTTTTTTTTTGTGCTGCGTAAACGCATTCTGAGATTCCGGTTTACATTTAATGATTCATTAATTTGCGCCTCATTAGCCTATTTAAAAAAAAAAATTTGTGTCGCAAACTATGCAAAATCAAGTAATCGTTTGCATGCGATTCTCGCTAAAGTAATCCATTGTTATTGAGTCACTCATTGAAAAAAAATTTTTTCAGCTATTTTATTCGGAATGATAATTAATGAGTAGTTTGAAGCGACCTCCTCCGTTTTTGAAGCAGAGGTAGGGGAATCTCCAGAGGTTGCCCAGTCCCACTGCGAAGCCCATAAGCGACAACACATAGTCCACCTGCAACAGGGAATAGTGCGAATACTACTGTTTCCATTTTCAGATGACACAGTAATATTAGAGCAATTATGCATTTTTGTTCACATGAATTTTCAACGCATTTTTCGAGGTTACATTCAGGTTTTCAAACAGGCCAAATTTGGCGTCTGGCGATCAGCCAAAGCAATCTTTTGTCAGTCAGTTCTCTAGCTCTACCTGTCTAGACTCTCTTAGCTGATGTACGTGTCCTACAAAATATCAACTTTGCATGAAGGAAGTTTTCTTTTGTGGCTTGCTTTCTTTTCCGTTTGTTTTCTTTTCTGCTCACCTGGCTGGGCCATTTGTGTCTGCGATTGCCCACTCCGTCCACCACTACTCCTCCCCCTCCCGGCTGCAACTGCATCTGATGTTCCTGCTGCTCCTTTTGTTGTTGCTGTTCCGGCTGATGAATGGCAGAGGCTGTTGTCGCTGTCTCTGGAGAGGAGGGCAAGGGCGTGGCAGAGGGGGAGTGGGGATGGTGGGCGGACCCTGCAAAACAGCAATTTTGAGGAGGAACTTCCTTCTCGGCAGCTGTATCTGAAATAGAGCACTTTTTGATCAAAAAATTTCAGAAATAAAAATAGGTTCCAACATAAATTGAAACAAATCTGGTAGAGTTGCGACAATTTGGATAGTAATTGCGAGGCGAAGAGCTGAAACTTTTTTCCAGAATTGTAAAATAATAAACGGAATTCATATTTTTAACAGCTATTAGATGGAGATTAGGACACAAAAGACCTCAAATGAACAAAAAATGCCCATTTCCCGGGATTTATTAAAAGGATAATTTTCTCAACGTAGTGATGCACAAAATGTACCTTCATTTTCGCATTTGACCCCTTGGTGACCTTCTGCTGGTGACGAAATCTGACTCATATTTAAAATCAACAAATCAATTTTGATACCCGAATACAAACGAACAACCAGTATTTTATAATAATTTTATAATAATAATTTTATTTTCAGGCCATAATCAAAAATTGTACTAAATTGTCCGTTTAGAAACGAGGATGACAGTCTAGTAAAATTTAAGGATAAAATCAGCTAAATTGGTGGAAATAAAAGCAGACTTCTAATTAAAACACGCTTCGAAAATGCTGTCCAATATAATTGACAGTAAAGTGCTGGAGTAGATAATGGAAACGAGCTCGGCAAATATACTAATAGAAAAACTTCTTTTTGAAAATGAACTAAGTTCAGAAACTCATCTAACCAAAAATAAGAAAAGGAAAAGATTGAGTGTTTTGCTCTAAATATATATTTTTTGCCTGTTTGCTTCTAGTCTTTATTCGAAACACGATAATAAGCAAACTAACCCAATGCTATATTTTGATCAAACCATAACAAAAAATGATCAAAAAGAATTCAATATTTCTCCAGAGGCTTTTTGAGAGACATAGGTGGGGTGAATGTAATTCATCAAAGAAAATTGAAATTCTGCATAAAATAACGAATATTAACACAAAAAATTTCACTATATAATAGACTACCAGTAACATTAAACATCAAACTCAACACATCGAATTGAAGATACTTATTGCTAAGAAAGTCCCAAAGTATTAACCATTTGGGTTTGAATGTCTAATATAACATTGCGTTCTCAGTAACAGCCTTATTTTTTATTGCTTAAGGACAGTCCATAGGTAGTTCATTATTAATATTTAAGATGCTTCCCAAATTGGGATCCAATTTAATATAACTCAAGGTGTGATGGTCCACTAAGCATGATAATTAGTTGGGTACACAGAGCTTCGGGACTGCAGAGATTTTTTGACGTCTTAACTCACCCATTTCACGTCAGCGGGATTTGAACAAAAGGAAGGTAAAAGTCACGCAAGAACAAAGACAGCCCATACGGTATTAAACTGGAACTCTCAATATTAAATTCTCAACTAAATTAAATTCTCAAAATTCTACAAGTAAGACAACACTATTGATCTCCAAGAAATGTAAAATTTTTATATGCCAGTTTGAGCAGTGCCACGCAGAGACATCTGACTATGTAAGTTCCGGTGGTTTATTTGATGACATATACAGGACACCTGCAACGGTCCAGCTATATGGCAGAATCTTCCGGAATTTCGGATAGTTTATGATTCCTTATATGGCATGCAAGCCATTGACTCATAAGGCGTGTCTTACCATCTGAATACTCCGCAACTGGGTAATGTTGCCTAACGCTTAAGCAACTAGTACAGATCATGTTGGACCTCAAATCACTGACCTTTTTGACTGAAAGGAGAAGACTTGAGCCAACTAACCACTAACACTTTGAGCCGATAAATTTTCTACGATTAATTCTCACACCAAATGTTTCAAGTACAAATTTCGATGCAACTGAATTTTAAGGATCAATTGCGCTTTCATTTATATAAATTTCGACAGGTCAATGCAAAGTTTTAGCTAAAGCGATGTTGAAATACATATTCCATTAATTTTAAGCGTGATCGCACCAAAAATATTTCTTTCTAGCCATCTTGATTAACGTGGTTAACGTTTTAAGCAAAAACTAGCGAGCCAGTCTCCATTAATCTATCACCTTGCAAAAAACGTATATTTTCTATAGTGTGAATCGGTTTGCAAAAATTTAAGTTTTTCGCCACCAGCTATTCTTTCAGTCCATGTAACTTTGAAATCTTTCAAACTATTGCAACTTGAACCAATTCAAAAAACTTTTCATGCTTTTAATCGCTTAGTAAAAAGTAGGTTTTCCAAACAAAAAAGTGTTTTTCAAGCAAGCCATTTCAAGTGATGAAACTTTGAAATCCTTATAGCTTTGTCATACCGTAAATCGATTCGCAAAAAGCTCAAAACTTCGTAGCAAGCCATTTAAGCCTTGAAACTTAGCGTCATTTGATTGGCAAAATAGCAAGTCGAGCGGATTCTTGAATTTTAAAGGCTAATTCAATGCGTGACTCGCTTCTCAAAATCTATGAAAACTTACTCAGCAAGCCATTCGAACTATGGCATTTAAAGAAATGTTCCTGTTAATTCATACGTTGAATCGATTCACAAAGCTAGTGTTTCTAAGAAAGCTTTCAAGCAATGAAACTTGTCAAACATTTTATAAAGCAAATCGGTTCAAGAAAGGTAACTTTTTCAGGTAAACTATTGAGCAATAAAACATTAGAACTGTTCGAGTTGTTGAATCGAGTCATAACTTGAATCGAGATGCAAAAATTTTATTTTTTTTGAGCAGGCTAGTGAACAATAAAACTTTGAAATATTTCAACTTGTTTTCATAGCTAGAACCGACTTGCAAAGAACTGAAGTTTTTCTCCCAAGCAACCTATCCCATAAAAGAAAACTTAGTATATTTCAACTTACTTTATAGAACGAATCGGTTCGAAAAAAAATCATTTTCGAAGCAAGGAGGTTGCTGCTTTTAGTAAGATCATTTCAGAATGAAATTAATCTGTGCAGGCAAAATTGGGACAAAGAATTCACAGGTACTGTTTAGCCTTGAAGTGGAATCAATTTTACCTTGTGTACAGAAAGCCTTGTTTCTAACAGGATTCAAGAATATTCCGGAGTTAAGAATACCTAAGAGATCTGAAAATTTCTCGGTTTTCTTAAAACTTGAATCTAAAAATTTTGACATTGCGCTCGGCAAAAGTAAAACAATGTGTTCATTTGAACATTGCGTCCAAAAAAAAAATTAGGCTCTAGGCGTCTCGTATTTAAATAAACTTCAATGAATGTGAAGAGTAGTTGGTGAACACAAAAAAAGATATGCTAGAGTAACGCCGAATAAAATTCAATATATGAATCAGATTTTGACGCAAAAATAAATTTGATTGCAATTAGACAAGATGAACAGAGTAGTCAAATGTAGAATCTCAAAAACGACAATTAAAAAAAAATTTGAGACAATTGAAAAAATGTTTCCTTTTACAAATATCTGCCAAGCAGTTTTCAGGGAAAAAACATAAAAAGCCGACAAAAAGGCAAACGCGAAGCTTCAAAGAGCTACTTTAATTTAGTTTAAGCTTGAAGGCCTCAGTTATTTCAAAAACTTAAAACTTTCGATAAATTTATTCAAATTATGAGAGCAATGTGATTGTTTTCATAAGTTTCGCCTGCAAGATTAAGTTTCATGCCACTTGTAAACTTAGTCTTGGTGACAGAATTCTTGTTGTATGCAACAGCTAAATGGCTCCTCTTATACTTATATAATTAGTAGCAAAAAGTTCGGACAGACAAAAATAATTGAAAAGAGCAAATGACCTTTTTCAGATAATTTTTGCATGCAAAAGCGAATTTTTTGGACAGAAAGTATGTCTCAATGTCATCTGAATTTTTAAATTTGCAAGCAAAAATTGCTAAAAATTTGCATATTGCTCTTTTTAATTATTTTTGTATGTCCGAAATTTTTGCAACTCTCTATAATTAGTAGCAAAAAGTTGGAACAGACAAAAATACTTGAAAAGAGCAATCTACTAACTTTGAGCAATTTTGCAATTTTAGGTGACCTTGAGACATCCTTTCTGCGTGAAAAATTAACTTTTGCATGCAAAAAAAAGATCTGAAAAAGCTCAGTTCCTGTCTTAAATTAATTTTGTCAGTTCAACTTTTTGCAACTCTCTATAATTGTTAGCAAAAAGTTCGGACAGACAGAATTAATTAAAATGAGCAATCAGTGCTTTTCGACGCTTTTTCGCATGCAAAATCTGAAGCCGAACAACCTTGAATTTTTTGTCAGACGAAATTCAAACTGCGAGATTGTCGATTATCTGATGATTATGCTAACCTAGTTTTTAAATACTGCGATGAACATCCAGATTTTACTATAAAACGTTTCGACGCTTCGGATGCAATTGCCCGCCGTGGTTATAAGTTTTGAGCGAAACTCGGATCTACTTAACAATCCCCCCATTGTATCTACTAAAGAATCTCCACCCCTGTAAATGAAAACAGTAAATTCGCTCTAGAGCATTGTATGTAAATTCGAACTTTGCTGCATTCTGATTGGTCGAAAATTCGCTGCAAGTTATCTTATTAATGATCTCCTCCCCCATTTCTTGAAAGGGGGATTGTTAAGTAGATCACGTACTTCTGCTTTATGAACTTTCGACTCTGAAAACTCTTAAACTCTCGTAGCATAATTTTGGGCGCCGACATATTATTTTTGTTTATTATCTCGAGCTTATCTCCAGTGGATTACCCATTTTACGTATTTGTACTTATTCTCAAATTGAGTGATTTTGTACAATTTTAATTAGTTAGTTATGTAGGTTAGCTTGTTTTATTTGTAGAAATGTCACATAACCCCAATTTACATAACATTTTGTACAGTCGCTGTAGATTTCTGTGTAATCTTGTAGGTAGCCTGTATATATTACCATATAATCACCTCCATTGTAATTTGTACTCTCTGTTAATTTCCATTGGTGCTAAGCGCGGTTACTTTTTGTTTCAACTTTGGCCCTGGTGGAGTGAGGGGAGAATGGAGTATATGTGTGATATTGGCTACATTGGGGAGCGGGCAGATATAACTTTTTGTGCAGAGGGGAATGTTGTGATTTAGTATTTTAGTATATCTTAACTTGACCTTTATTGTTTATTCATGTACCAATTAACGTCTGCTCTACGAAGTACAGTAGACTTGGAGTCACTAATTGCTCTTTTTAGACTACAGTCAGTTTTAATTCACTTATTTATTTTATTCCGTTTTAATCTTAGTTAGATACTATATTTACCAGTGGTAATCATACACTTTTAATAAGATGACACAGTAATATTAGAGCAATTATGCATATTTGTTCTCATGAATTTTCAACGCATTTTTCGAGGTTACATTCAGGTTTTTAAACAGGCCAAATTTGGCGTCTGGCGATCAGCCAAAGCAATCTTTTCTCAGTCAGTTCTCTAGCTCTACCTGTCTAGACTCTCTCAGCTGATGTATGTGTCCTACAAAATAGCAACTTTGCATGAAGAAAGTTTTCTTTTGTGGCTTGCTTTCTTTTCCGTTTGTTTTCTTTTCTGCTCACCTGGCTGGGCCATTTGTGTCTGCGATTGCCCACTCCGTCCACCACTACTCCTCCCCCTCCCGGCTGCAACTGCATCTGATGTTCCTGCTGCTCCTTTTGTTGTTGCTGTTCCGGCTGATGAATGGCAGAGTCTGTTGTCGCTGTCTCTGGAGAGGAGGGCAAGGGCGTGGCAGAGGGGGAGTGGGGATGGTGGGCGGATCCTGCAAAACAGCAATTCTGAGGAGGAACTTCCTTCTCGGCAGCTGTCTCTTTTTGATGAAAAAATTTCACAAAAAAAATAGGTTCCAACAAAAATTGAAACAAATCTGGTAGAGTTGCGACAATTTGGATAGTAATTGCGAGGCAAAGAGCTGAAACTTTTTTCCAGAATTGTGAAATAATAAACGGAATTCTTATTTTTAACAGCTATTAGATGGAGATTAGGAGAGAAAAGACCTCAAATGAACAAAAAATGCCCATTTCCCGGGATTTATTAAAAGGATAATTTTTTCAACGTAGTGATGCACAAAATGTACCTTCATTTTCGCATTTGACCCCTTGGTGACCTTCTGCTGGTGACGAAATCTGACTCATATTTAAAATCAACAAATCAATTTTGATACCCGAATACAAACGAACAACCAGTATTTTATAATAATTTTATAATAATAATTTTATTTTCAGGCCATAATCAAAAATAGTACTAAATTGTCCGCTTAGAAACGAGGATGGCAGTCCAGTAAAATTTAAGGATAAAATCAGCTAAATTGGTGGAAATAAAAGCAGACTTTTAATTAAAACACGCTTCGAAAATGCTGTCCAATATAATTGACAGTAAAGTGCTGGAGTAGATAATGGAAACGAGCTCGGCAAATATACTAATAGAAAAACTTCTTTTTGAAAATAAACTAAGTTCAGAAACTCATCTAACCAAAAAATGAAAAGGAAAAGATTGAGTGTTTTGCTCAAAATATAAATTTCTTGCCTGTTTGCTTCTAGTTTATATTCGAAACACG